CGCACGTTAAAGAACCCTTGGTGGTCTAAAATCGATAAGAGTAGGCTGAGTAGGCTTCGGCGGCCACCCGAGCAAAAATTCAAAATCTTCTACCAACTGAAAAAGTTGAATGTGTCCCGTGCGCTCATATGACGTTATGCAGTTGCGAGCACAGTAAAACACTTACCAAAAAAAAAAAAGAAAAAGAAAAAATAAGTGCCAAATGTTTCTGGGGGCCGCACTCGACTCTAGGAGGGGCTGCGTGTGGCCTGAGGGCCGGAGTTTGCCCACCCCTGCCACAAAGGAAACAGTCTTTCCTGTTTCTTCTTTTGTTATATTGTATTGTTGAGTTTTGATTGTCTGTTTTATTTTTACTTCGCCTCTGGATACCATTTTCTGTGAACGGCAGTTATTTGTTTGTATGTGTGTAAAATGTTGTTGTTGAGTTTTAATTTACAATTAGTTGGGACCATGACAGTGACAAATCAGAAAAGGACTCAATATCCGTGTACAGAAAAAAATAACGTTAGGCGAAAAATACGATTGACATCCCACAAACAATAATTAATCTAATCCATCAAAATATGCGACAGAGCGCATTATTAAATAAATTATTAAATTAAATAAATAAATAAATAATCGGAAGCATTTTCTGGGGTTTGGGCAGAAGTATTATATATACTATTATATCTTTCAATCATTGAGACGGGTTTTTTTCGGGGTTTTTGGGGGTTTTTTTTCGTTTTTTTGTTGTTGTTTTTTGTTTAGTTTTTTACAGACGGGTTTCTGGTTATTTCGTTTATTTTGCTCTCTTTTTAAAAAAATTTGATTTCCTTTTTTAATGTGTGCACCCCCCCCCCCCCCCCCCCCCCCCCTCTCCCATCTTTTTAAATAATCACTCTATACTACAACACTAAAAATGGGCTGCATTAAACGATTTTAAAAGTTATCAAAGTATTCTTTCAAGTATTCCATTTGACAGTGAATTGACAGGGAAAAGTAAAAAAAAAATAGAAAGGAAAGGGAAAAGGAAAAAAAGTCGTGGGTGCGTCCCAAGCGTTGTTCCGCGGAGAAGCGTGGGGGCGTCCACAGGCAATGTACTCCCTTCGAACGTCCAAACTGAAGTGACCACTTGGGGTGTACAACTGACTGGTCAAGTCTTGTTAAAAATAAAAAATGCTGCTGGAGCTCGGTTTTCCCGCCTGACGCCTGCAAGTCTATTGTCTGGTGACAGCCAGTGAGTTCTTTCACACCTAGCGAAATGCGCAGACAAGGGGAGCGAATTATGTATCCAGTGACCACGGCGGCTCACATCAAAGACACGCCGACAGCTCAGCGCACGCTATGTACCTGGCTTGTTGGTCGGGAAGTGATTGAAGTTTTCAGTATGTGATTACTCCCTTGTTGTGGTGGTTTGACAGTGTCTTTGAGGGTCAGGATGTGAGATCTAGAGTCCTGCCCCATCTTTGTTTATTGTTGTAAAAAGAAACAGGCACGGCATTCCAGGTTGAAAAGGATTTTTATAAATATTTTCTTATGCACAATTTCGCCGGTAAATGATTAGTAACAAACCAGGAGTCTCACGTTAAAAAAATATATTTCTAAAAATTGTTTTGTTGCCTGACTTAAAGATTCGATACTGTTCCTGTAAAAATAACACATGGGGCAAAACAATGTGACAGTTGCAAGTCGGGCACTAAGTCAGAAGACGGAAGACGGAAATAAATGACAGGGGGAAAAAGTAAGTAAAAGAGAATATAACTCTATATCTACATGTTTCGAAAAAAAAATTTGTTCAAATAACATACAAATATAATTAGAGTTACACATTACATACAGCACTCTTTTATGGGCGGCCCACGTGTGTGTGTGGGGGGGGGGGGTCTTTGACTTGAACACAAGCAGCAAAAGTGCCGCACCTTTTTAAACTGCACATAGTGCTCAAGGTAACCTTTAATAAAACCCACGAAAAACAAACGAATTAACAAGTGCAGTGTTATCATAAAAGAGCTAGATCTAGACTTTTTAAAAATTAATTCAGCAAACAAATTTTCATTATAAATAACGATACGAACACAAGTTTCAGGTTTAGTATACAGATTGCTAAATTTAACCAGTAATACAAACAATTATTGATTTCCATTAGAAAAAAAGTGCCGAGTGTTTCCGGGGACCGCACTCCACTCTATGAAGGGCTGTGTGTGGCTTGAGGGCCGGAGTTTGCCCTCCCCTGCTACAAAGGAAACAGTCTTTTCTGTTACTTTTTTTGTTGCAGTTTGTTGTTCTGTTTGTTGTTCAGCTTGTTTGTCTCTTTATTTTTACTTCGCCTCAGGTTGTGGTATGTTCTCCATACAAGCTGTAGCGTGTTTGCAAGCTTTTGAAATAATTTTTATTTTGAGCTGTAATTCAGATTTTGTCATGACAATTACACTCATAACTCGCCACAAATCAGATCAGGACTCAATTTATGTGTACAGCAACTCAACGCTAAATAAATAACAAAGGGAAAAAAACTACGATTGAGAACCCACAAAGGACAATTTGTTTTATTAATCAAAATATGCAACAGTGCATATTATTAAATTAATAAATAAGTAAGTAAATAGATAATGGGAAGTAATTTCTGAGGATCAAGCCAAAATATTATACACGAAGCACCAAACCTCAAATCTTTTTGAATAACGGCTCTATGCAACAACACCGAAATGGGCTGCATTAATAGATTGAGAGATTTTATCAAAGTATTCCATCAAGCATTCCATTTGATAGTGAATTGACTGGGGAAAGCCAAACAAAAAACAAACAAAAAAGTGTGTGGGGTAGGGGCGGGGGGTGGGGGCAGGCATCAGCTCAAGGGCTTTACCGTGGAGTAGCTTTCAATGATTAATCTTTTGGTGTAAGATCAAAGAAGGAAACACTTAATGAGCGGCTAGCAGAGTCTACCAGGGAGTAGCTACGTTTGTTGTTAAAATAATATAATTGTTTTTTTTTCGTTGTTGTAGTTGTTGTTTGGTAAGTGCTTAACGGCGCTCGCACCTGCATATAAGGTCATATGAGCACGCGGGACGCATTGAACATTTTCAGTTTGATAGGAATTAAATTTGAATTTTGCCAGGGTGGTGGTTGAAGCCTACATTTATCGATTTTGGACCACCGAGGGATATTTAACACGCCGAACTTACACGCGTGACCTAAGAGATTTCTCGCCCGTATCCGAGAAGCCTGGGTGTTAGATCTTACCTTCTTTAAGATCAGGGTGAAAGAGAGCTGTAAGAGCCAATTCGTAGCAGTAAAAAGACTGAAGAAAGAGTCAGCAGGCCAGAGGAGAGGGCAAAGTGGTAGGGGTTGGGGGAAGTGACAGTGGAATTCAAAGCAGACGACAGAATGTGGTTAGAGAGCATGAAATGGGATGAAAGGAGAACATTTTAGAGACAGAAAAT